ATGTAAATTTGTTCATCTTATTTCATTTGTCTTTGTAGAAAATGGAGTGTGTTCAGGGCGCTTTGGTGAGCGGGTTTGGGCTGGAAACGGATTTGAAAACGGCGTCGTTCTTGGACGACTTCTCGGCGGTGAACGGTGTTTCCGGCGACTACTTGTTCGTCGACGAACTTCTGGATTTCTCTAACGACTTCAACGGAGAAGAGGTTGAGGAGGAGGAAAAGCCTCAGAAACTGGAGGAACCGGAGGAAAAACAACGGGAGGAGAAGGACAAGACGTTCTTTGTTCCGCCGGAGAAACCAGCGGCGCCGGAGGAAAGCGCTGTCTCCGTGAAACACGATTTTGGGCCTCTCCCTGAAAGTGAAGAATTAAACGTTCCGGTGAGCGTCAGTTTCCTTATTTTGGCAGAAATTTACAGCCCAAAATATGCACAAAGAAACGTTTTTTATTTATTTATTTTATGGTAAAATACTAAAATTTGCTTGGAAATTGAGAGAAAATGAAGATTAATTGATTATACATATTTTTAATTTTTATATTTTTGTCAACAGGCGGAGGGCTTGGAGAGTTTGGAATGGTTATCTCACTTCGTGGAGGACTCGTTTTCCGATTACTCTCTCACCGGAAAATTGTCGTCTACTCAGGCGGCGAACCGGTCGGAACCGGGTACGAACGTCAAAGCACAGACCTGCTTCTCCTCTCCGGTCCAAACAAAGGCCCGAACGAAGAGGGCCCGAACAGGGGTCCGCGTCTGGCCGGTTTTGTCGCCCTCCTTCACCGAGTCGTCCACGTCATCCTCGTCGTCCGCCTCCTCCGCCGCGTCGTTCTCATTTCCGACGCCGAACCCCCTGGCGGTTCAGTGCCAGACCGGCGAGGCCCTGCAGGGAAAGCCGCCGCCGCCGAAGAAGCAGAAAAGGAAACCGGCCGACGCCGGAGGGAGCGCCGTGCCCCAGCCGAGGCGGTGCAGCCACTGCGGCGTGACGAAGACCCCGCAGTGGCGGGCCGGGCCCCTCGGGTCGAAGACGCTCTGCAACGCCTGTGGGGTGAGGTTCAAGTCGGGCCGGCTTCTGCCCGAGTATCGGCCCGCGTGCAGCCCGACTTTCTCCAGCGAGATCCACTCTAACAACCACCGGAAAGTCCTTGAGATGCGGCGCCAAAAGGAGTCGGAGATTGAACCGGCCGTCGGCCTTCCCCCGCCGGTTCAGAGTTTTTGAGGCGCTGATTAGGTTTTTTTACGTTTAGGCAGGTAGGAAAAGGAAAGGGTAGAATGGGCAGAAAATGTTACAATTTTAGATGATGGAGAGTTAAATTAATGAATTCGCCGGTTTTCCGGTTGGTTGAAGCTGGCCCGGTTTAGTGTATATGTTTGGGAAGAACGGACCCATGGGTCTGATGAGGTAGGTCATGACTGATTAGGATGAGACTCAATTAATTATCTCTAATGTAATTTTCGAATTGAAGTTTTCATTGATATTGTTGTGTGTTTGCCTTTTTAATTTATTACTCTATTCTAACCCCTTTAAAAGTCTTTATTCCGCATTGACTTTATCAGTGTTTGAGCTTTGGGCTCCAACTTTTTCTTTTTTCCCTCTTCATATTTCATTAGAATGGGTTGATGAAATTAATAATTGTATTTATTAACCATGGTCCCCTCACAGAATAATTACGATTTTTTATAAGATTTTTTATTTGTGGATTTTATAAGATTTTTTATATAAAAGTGTTACACGATCGACCTCCAACCGTTATAGATTATAATTATATGGGAGGTCGATTCAACGGTTACAGATTATAATTATGGGATGGTTAATTTGAGGGATTAAGAATTTTAACAGAATAAAAGAAAATTACTAAAGTGAAAGCAATGAAATAAAAAATATTGATGCCGCCGATCTACTGTGGAGATCGACTAGAAGAATCAATTCTCCGAGAAAATATAATAGAGTTTGTTTGAGGGATTATGAAGTGAAGAATCGATCCAACGGTTAAAGATTATAATTATGGGACGGTTAATTCGAGGGATTATGAAGTAATTAGTGACACTTGGGAAGAACTTTAACAGAATAAAAGAAAATTACTAAAGTGAAAGCAATGAAATAAAAACACTGATGCCGCCGATCTACTGTGGAGAAAGACGAGAAGAATCAATTCTCCGAGAAAATATAATAGAGTTTTTTTTTATTATTATTTTTTTTATTTTTTTTAATTATAATTGAGTTATTTTTTTTAATTTTTTTTTAATTGAGTTATTGTACTGGACGTAGGGATGCATCATGTGTATCCATGCAAAACTCGGCCTTTGAGGATGTGATTAATTGGATAGTCGTTTTATCAACTTTAACGGTTTCGTATTCAAACAGCAGAGAGATTGTCAAGAAGACTTGTGATGAGATCGACATCAGAGGTCATATGTCGATTGGGGAGATCGACATATCTTGTGGTCGTTGTTTTTTGCGCTACTTGTGTTTGCGCTTGCAGGCTCAAACGCTCTTGTGATTTGATCTTGTTGGGCCGACTTATGGTTCTTAAAAATTTAAGTAAAAAAAAAAAGCATATGGAAAATATTTGGTAAACAATTAAGAAAAATAATTAATACAGTACACAATGATTACTAAAAATATTAAAATAATATTTTATAATATAAATTTATTTAGTGAATTTAATTGTGAATAGGTAAATATTATTAGCTCAACATTTAAACATTTCAAAATTTGACTGAGAGCCNCTACTAAAAAATCATTTAGCATCAACGATCATAATATTGGTATCTTTGAGTTTTTCCTAAGTCAATATTATGGGATTTTCCGTTTCATTTTTTCTACCATATCTTTTATTTTATATTATGCTCCTTGTGAAATTATAAATCCGATGAAGACAAACACGAATTATTTGTTTATAATTTCGATGTAACTTAAAGGCATCATTTGTTGAGTGATATAGTCAATTCAATAACAATAAACAAATATGATAAAACATGCTAGGCGGATATATTAGGCTTTAAAAGGGCATCTTTAATAATAAATCCTTCACTTCTCAACATATCACATTATTCAAAACATTCTTCTTACTTTTACACTCACAAGTTTTCAATAACAGTAAATCTCATAAACCTCATTTTTCATGGATCCCACATGTTTTCTACTTACTTTTAGTTAATACTATATTGTTATATTTTTATTAATATTTTAAAATTATAACTCCACATTTTATTTTTATTCAATTCAAATATTACATATATTTATCACAAATACATATAAATTTAATGTAATTATGCTGCATTATTTATAGTTATGGTGTGTTAATTATGTACCAATATAAAGTTTTACTCAAAAAAATTGTGAAACATAGAACTTACATAATGTTCAAAACTACATTTGAGTACAATTTTTTTCTAAATATTACCCTTGGGGATAATATGTATGGTATTTTCGTTCATATAAGACTGAAATTATTTTTTTTGAAGAAGAACGGACACAAAAAAAATATTTCTCGAACAAGATAGAAGTAAAAGTATGGTATTTCTATTAAAATAAATCTAAAATTATTTTTAATATCTAAAAAAATTGAATTTAATTGTATGGTATAAAAACGTGGTAGATGTTTCGTTAAAAAAAAGAAACAAGTGAAATCGAGTTATTTTTAAAGTAGAACGGACGCCAACAAATATTGCTCAAACCAAACAAAAGTAAAAGTATGTTAATTTCGTTAAAATAAAATTAGAATTATTTTATGTATATCAATATTTCAAATTTTTGTTATATTCTAAATATAATGTTTTAGTGATTATGTACATTAATTAATTTTTTATTAAATTATTATAAAATCAAATCCTATTTCCTAATATAAAGGAATATTTAAATACTTTTATTACTATTGGAAAATGAAGATAATATGTAATTTAAGACTTTAAGTTTAATTTTTACTACTATTGAAAAATGAAGGATAATATTCAGATTAACAATACTTTTATGACAACATGTTTAATGATTTATGAATATTCACATGTCATTTTATTAATATTTATGTGAATTAAATAACATTTCATTATAATGTTTATTAATGTACAATAAATATATGGTTTTCAGAACCGGACCGTCATCGAAACGATCATGTTATTTTATTAAATCGTTTGTGCCTTTGTGGTTTGTTCATATTTTAATTTATAAACAGTTTAATATATATATATATATATATGTATGTATATATAGTACTCTTTGTAGCAAATTTAAATAAAATGTGTTACTTAAATATCTAAACAATTTATAAATTCAAATGTTCAAACTAATTAATAAATAATTTATATATCTCTATTTTATTTAAATATGTAAGTTTATTTAAAATAGTTTTAAATGTAACAAAATTTATTTTGAAAATCGTATCGATCCTACCAGGACCAACCCACTGGTGTTGACGAATTCGATAGTAAATATTTTATTCAAGCGAACTAGACTAGTTATAAACCGGTTCTCGGTCCATCCGGTCGACCTGTGTCCAACCAGTTTAATTTAAAAACAATGGATAAATCATGACTAATAATATTTATATATTTAATTTATAATACAATCGTAATATTGTTTTCCCGTGCATTGCGTAGGCCAAACAACAATACAAATATATAATAGTATATTAAAAAATAAATGCACTTAGGTCATACAATCCAAAATATGTAAATAGGTGGTGTTTAATAAGGTATTTAATTATCTAACAATATGAAGTAGTTGTACAAAGAGACCGTTGTCGATTGATGTGCATAATTTTACTTCTAAAATTACACAAATACCATCTTTAATCCATAACACCCTCTTTCTTCTACACATTCTCCTCATTACAAACCTTCTTTCATCCACAGCCGTCACATATACCATCTCTGTCGGTTAAATACACCAAGCGGGCATAGTCGGCGTCGTTCTCTAATGATATTACAAGCATATCTAGAGAATGGGGATGAATTTGACAATGAAATTTTGATTCTTTGTTGTTAATAGAGTTTTGGATCTGGATTTAGAGAAAGGAAAATGGAGAAATAAGGAAAGAAGAGAAACGAGATGGGAAGAAAGTGGGAGGAAAAGGGAGAGAGGAGAAACAAATTAATACCTTTTCATATTTCTATTTTCCGCTCATTTTACTCGTAATTCTGATCTAACAAACGTTAAATAAGATTAAATTTTTTGAACTCCGCCTATGTTTTCTCAACATAGCAGGTCTCAAGCATTGGTAAAGGAGGAGGGTTGTGATAGGCTTGGCGAGCCAATGTAAAACCTAGCCGTTCTATAGAGATGAAACACATGAGAAATTCGTTGGGGCGTAACCCTCTTAGCGACGCGCTATATCAGAACCCGGATATGGTGTCAAATGGGAAAGGGCCGGGTCGTCTCCCCCTCAGTGGCGCGCCATGTCGTGGTTTGGGCATGGTGTTAAGTGAGCAAGGACCGGGTCATCATTTCCTTAGTGGCGCGCTACATCGGTGCCTGGATGTAGTAAAAAATGAGCAAGGGCCTTCGCATCTCTCTCAACGGGTGCGAAGGGCAAGGAAGCTAGTCGGACCAACTAGGGTCCGTATAGGTAGTTGGAATGTAGGGTCCCTAACGGGTAAGCTACATGAGCTAGTCGATGCAGCTACTAGGAGGTGTGTAAATATCCTATGCGTCCAGGAGACTAAATGAAAGGGACAGAAGGCGAAAGAGGTGGCGGATACTGGCTTCAAGTTTTGGTTCACTGGGGCTTCATCGAGTAGGAATGGTGTAGGCATCTTGATCGATAGGAGCCTTAAGGATAGAGTTGTAGATGTTAGGAGGCAAGGCGACCGGATTATCCTAGTCCGATTGGTAGTTGGAGATTTGACCATGAATGTGATCAGTGCCTATGCTCCTCAGGTAGGTCTTAGTGAGAGCGCAAAGAGGCAATTCTGGGAGGATCTAGATACCTTGGTTCGTACGGTGCCTGCCAGCGAGAAGCTCTTCGTAGGAGGAGACCGAAATGGCCATGTGGGTGCGACTAATGTAGGTTTCGAGAGAGTGCACTGAGGGTTTGGGTATGGTAGTAGGGACGAAGAGGGAGAGGGTGTGTTGGACTTTGCGATGGCCTACGACTTGTTGATAGCGAACACCCTCTTTAGGAAGAGGGAATCTCACCTGGTGACCTTCCATAGTGGACGACACTCAAGTCAGATCGACTTTATCCTTGTAAGGAGGGAGGATAGATGCGCTTGCGTAGATTGCAAGGTGATACCTGAGGAGTGTGTTGTCTCCCAGCATAAGCTGGTGGCGGCGGATTTTCAATTCCGAATACGTGTCCACCGGGACAAACGTGCCAAGACCGTAAGAACGAAGTGATGGATGCTTAAAGGGGAAGCGGCACAGACGTTTAGGGATAGGATACTAGGCGAGGGGCCTTGGGAAGAAGGAGAAGATGCGGATGACATGTGGTTAAAGATGGCAACATATGAACGGAAGGTGGCTGCAGAAGTACTTGGTGTGAGTAGGGGAGGCAAGCAAAAAGAGAAAGACACTTGGTGG